AGCCAGTGCAGCTGGAAAAGCACTGGGTGAATATGCTCCCATGGCAGAGACCCCGTGAGGAGCCTCGCTGCAGCATTCTGCACCCGCTGGAGTTTCTGGGACAGATTCAAGGGCAGCCCCACGTAGAGCGAATTACAGTAGTCAAGCCTGGAGGTGACCATTGCATGGATCACTGTGGCCAGGTTGGGGCGGGAAAGGTAAGGGACCAACTGCTTGATGAGGCGAAGGTGGAAAAATGTCACCTTGGCTATTGTAACCTGCGTCTCCATGGAAAGGGAGGTGTCAAGGATTACACCCAAACTCTTAACCGAAGGCTTCAATGAATAGAAGGATGAATAAGGTCTCTAAGGAAATGGAGGCCAGAGATTTTCAGTTTGTTTCCCAACCTACCTCGTCTGTGCTTTCCTGATGAACACAAAAACATGAATGGGTCTGATCCATTCTTCACATTCTGATGTTCCTGTTTCTCTTTTCTCTTTTCTCATGGACAGGGAATTGATTTTGATGAAGATCAAATATCGGAAATCGGCCTGGAAGATGGGGAGGATCTTCCTCCAAGGTAATCCTGTGCTAATCCCCTCCCCATAATCAATTGCTTTTAAAAAAAACCCGGTCCATTTCTATGGTGGTGGTGCTTGGGGTCTTTGAAGGATGGGAGGCAATAAACCCTTTTGACAAAAGTGCTACTCCTGTCTCCCCTCAGCATCCCAACCACAGCTTCTCTGGATGCGGCTGATCTTCCTCCTGAAAGCGGCAGCAGGGACCAGCTGAACAACAGACTTACGGATTTCGTCGCAACAATAAAGAATGGGATGATCCGAAGGAAGGCGCTCCGAGATCTTTGCGCCTTCCTGCAGAAGATCCAGGAACATGTGAGTTGCGTGGCGAGTTCCCGCCTCCCCCACGGAAATAAAGACACAGGACACCAGTATTTTAGGTTAATGGGCAAAATTAGGCCACAACTTTATTGATTACAGGAATTGAGTGGTATTGGCTTAGGCATTGGTCCTATCGACTAACCGGCTTCAGCCTGATTGCTAGAAGACCGGCAAGGGTTAACCACCAGTAGGGGGAGTCCTGCTGATGTACATCAACTAGGAGCTCCCCCGGAGTCACCGCTCGGGGCATGCCTTAGGCCCACACCTCCATAGGCTTCGGACAGGGCAACGCCCCACGGAATCCTTTACCGGACTACCCTTCGATATGGGGGAAGGTGATGGCGCTTCCTCCCCCCCACTCATCTGCATAACAATACCCTTACCAATGCCTAACCGCCAATGCCGAGGAAGTTGTGACGATTTGCTACGAGGTAGGCAAAAAGCCAAAAGGCTGGTGCCAATTTGCCAAGTGGAAAAAATTCCTACCAGGCCCTTGACGGCACCACCGAAGTCCATAGCAATGTCAAAGAGCCAAACTAAAGGGTGGAGGGTGGGAAAAACGGAGCAGCTGGGGCGCTGGGAGAAGAGGGAAATCCTCAGGCGCGCCGGCCCTAAATAGCGCGGGCCACGCCTCCCAGGCCAGCCGATTGCTGGCAAGGGAGATGACACGCCGAGGATTCCCTGCTCTCGCGGGGGGGGGCTGCAAGCCAGCCCCGAGTACGTGGGGGGAGGGCATGAAGCCACAACCCCACCTCCTCTCCAGCTCAGAAGTGGCTTTACTGAAGGGAAGCATTGCAACCATGCAGGGCTGTCAAGGCCTTCAGGCTGCTGCTTCTAGGCCCATCCTGCCAAGGTGCCCAAGGGACGATCAGGCATCCCAGCACATACTCAATTTGGAGAACAGAGCTGGGCCATAGTGAGTAAAGTGGCTGAGAAAAGAAGAAAAAAAGCAAACATTAGGAAAAGAGGGTTAGGTTTAGGATGCTAAATGTTTTGGAATGTTTGGAATAAAAATGTTATAGGAAAAATGGTGATCAGTCCCTTCTCTGGGTTTCTTCTCAGCCATCGGCAGTGATTCATGCATGCTCCTATGGCCAACTGGTGGCGATTTCCTGCCTTTGTGCATTGGATCCGGACCCGGAGAGCAGGCAGCGGGCAGCAGAGGCTCTCTGCCATCTTCTGCCCATCCTGCGGCACAACGAAGGTAAGACTGGAAGAATGCATCCCAGCATGGGGTGGGGTGAGCAAGACCCAAACTAACCCTTTGGCTTTCCTTTGCAGAGACACTGGCAGGAACGTTAGGAACCAAATGCTCATCATCGGAGCTGAGCAGGTCCTCGAATCCACCGGAGGACCGGTCGGGCTGTTCGTGAATAACTGTCACTCTCTTGTCAGGGTAAGTCGCTGTCTCTCAAGCCACATGTTCTGGGTTCCGCAGAGGCAGCACCTGGGCTTTCTGCTCCCCAGCCCTGCCCTGTGGGCATCTCTGACCTTCCTCTCTCGCTTCAGGTCTTTGGCGCCTTTCTCCCTGCGGCGCAGCTCTTGGAGGCCATGTGCTTCCTGGCCAGAGACCTGGTTCTTGAGAGCAGCTTCGACCCCTTGGACATCTCCCACCTGCTGCAAGATTTCATCAAGCAGTTTGGCGGCACAAAAGTGAAGGTAAGGCGTCTTCAAAGGTAGAGAGAAGAAGATTCTCCGCTTTGGTGTAGGGGAGGCAACCATACTCCCCAGGACCCTGAGTGGTACCTTGGAAGGAAGAGGCTGTGGTGGCACAGGTCAAGGGTCCCTCTTTCAATGAGGGATGGAGACAGCCCCGCTTCCTTGTACTCTCCAAGCAACCTCTCCTTTTCTCTGACAGGTGGAGGTGCTGCTGGAGGCCTTCATAAGATCGCCCAGGGGCCTACAGTGCATAGGCAGGAACATGGCCGTCTTCGCGTTCTCCATCTTGGCGCACCACCACCTGGACCAAAGTGGTGCAATATCTCCTCCAGTTTCCCTTCGGGTATGGAGCCCTCCAGGTTCTACTGGGCTAAGGGGGAGGTTGGCAAGCTGCAGGGCTTGCTCAGAAAGCCCTTGCTGCCATTTCCTCTCTCTGGAGCATGGCAGCAAGCAGAAGACCTTGAATCTGACCATTGGCTCTTGTTTTTGCATTCACAGAGACTGCGAGAGAGTATGGAAGGAGGTTTTACCATCGGCCGATCCAGAACAACTGCTCAATCTCATGGCCGAGCAGATTTACCAAAGCCCCTTGGCGGAATCTGCCACCACAAGTGGTAAGGACCAACCACCTGCTTTCTGGCTTCCTTCTTCCCAGGGTAATATCGAGGGGTTCCTGTATTCTGCAGAAAAGCAGAGAAAGTGACTTGCACCCCTCTCTCTTTCCAGCAACATCTCACCAGCCTGTGGCACGCATCCTCAGGATGGAAGGACTACAAGGCAGCTGGTGCGCTGGAACTTCCCACAGCTGCTGATCGCTCTCCTGGGGATGGTTGTCAACTTCCACTACTATCCAGGAATTCCTCGGCGTGAGTAGTGTGTTTGCAAAGGGACAATGGAGTCCTTTCCCCTTCAGACCTCGGGGGGTTTTCCAGTCCAGCTTGGTTTTCCAAGGGAGGCTCTCCTTCAAGGCGGCTGCTGGGGAAGGAATGTGGAGTGTGTGCCAATGACCCTCCTGGTAAAACTGGCCTTGCTTTGGTTCCAGAGGGGCTAAGGAAGTTCTGCACCTCCTTCTTGGCACCACTGGAGAGCAAGTGGAGGCGGCCATCGTTGAACCAACTTTTTCTGCCGGGAGACTTTCAGCCAGGGGTTGTCTGCCATGGTGAGGTAGAGGAAGAACGCGGTGACCTTCCCCAGTGGTCTGGCAAACGGAGCTGAAGGCACGGGATCCGGACTGTGCCCGTTTGCTTCCTGCGGTGTCTTTCCTTCCTTACCAAGATCTCCTTCTCCATTTCAGAGCCGTCGGAAAAACAACGCTGTGGAATCTCTCCCATGGTGGAAAGCATCATCGCTGCTCTCGAGGACCAGGAATTTCCTGGGATGCCACAAGTCGCGGCAGCTATCTACATTGAGGTGAGGGGGACTGACGCGGGCGGAAATGGTGCAGCAAGGAGGCCCTGGCTTGGTTTCCTGCCGAGTGTTGGCTACTTTGAGTCTAAGGACTGTGCCTGTTTTAGTGCTCCTCAGAGTAGACCCATTGGATTTGATGTACATGGCAAACTTTGGTCCATTTCACTTCAGTGGGTTTTGCGCTGTGCAGAATGCAAATGGTGGGTAAAAGGAGAACCTGCCTCAGCCTCTTATCCCTGAAGGGTTTTCTTTCTCTTTGGGCTCTTTAGCTGCTCAGCTGCCGTCTGGAGGTCTATCCCTGTGAAGATACACTGGAGCAGCTCCTCAACTGGCTGGAACACGACTGCCTGAAGTCCGGAAGCTCAGTCTCAGAGGGATATCCCCTGCTCTGGACTCTGACATGGCAAGTGATGCTCAGAGGAGGGGGGGGTACAGATCTTGATTCTAATCATGGCCAGCAACTCTTTTGCTGGCACAATACTGAAGGGCCTGTGCTAAAAGGCGTGAGGCGGCTTTTCAGGACCGTTTGAAAAAGATTCCTTCTCATTTCGTGTAGCGACGGCCTTCCTTCCCTGAGGCCACCTCCCCTCTCTGATGTAGAGCTGATGTCCTCGCCATGCCCAATTATGAGCAGCTTGGTAGACCAAGCCTACCATTCCAGGGGAGCTGGGAGAGGAAAGACCTGGAGATCGGCTGGCGGCACCTACTGCTGTGCCTTGGCTGGCCCCATAGTGAGTTATGAGGGGAAACCATGCACACCCACACCCAATGTGACGCGGAGGACTTCTTTGGAAGAGGAAAGGGTGGGGTTAGCACTGGCTATGCAGCGGAGATGGTTCCTGGCTCTAGGGAGGGTGTTCCTCTGGAAAGTGGATCTGCATTGAGAGAAACACAACACACTAACTGCAATATGTTTGTCTGCCTACAGGAGGAAGCCCTCCGTCCGGCGTTAATCAGCCATCGGAACATACTGGGGCTGGCTTCGGGGCTGGGGCGATGATGTCGGAGAGACCCAAAGACTGTCCCATTACAACAACAGAAGAGGAAGCCATTCACGAACTGGTTGTGGTCCTCATTCACCTCGAAGACGAGGACCTTGAATGTGGCCAAGGTGAGGGCCAAAGAGGTGGACTTATGCCAGTGGGAGGGAGGGATTGTTCTCAGGAGCTTCCGAGACTATGCACCTGGCAATTTGTAACCCTGCTTTCTTCTTCTTGTGTTGCAGGCCGCAAGGAGGGCTGGCTTTCCCATGCTAGCCCAGAAGGTCAAGTGGTGGGCCGTATTCCAACAAATTTACCTCCACTTTGCTCTCCACCAGGCCTGCCAAGCTATGGTAAGGTCCCTGCTAGCCTGTTGTTGGCCAGCTTTTCCCAGGCATGTCTTTGGGAGTGCAAGGCTCTTCTGCTGGCGCTCTCAGCCTCTCTGATGCCATCTTTCCTTTGTCTTTGCCCACAGAGCAAGACCTTCAGGCAAGGGCATCCTTCCGAGTGCTGCCTTATCATGTACGCAGCCGTCTGCCAACAGTCTGCCAGCAGTCTCCAGGGTGGCAGCTCTGCTTCTGGGTAAGTCAGCAACGTTCTTCCCTGGTAGGGAGGACAGAAACGTCTTGGTAACAATGGCAGGGAGGATGGACATGTCCCCAGGCCACCTGCTAGGTAGGCCTCCATCTGTGCCCAGATCTTGCTCTGAGTGCTCCGTGAGGGTGGAGGCCTCTAGAGCATACCTGTCCTCCTGCCGAGCTGCCTCTGTCTCCGCTTGCTTTGCACCAAGATGACGTCCCTTTTCTTGCCCTCTCTCTCTCTCTAGGTCATCTGGCTTTCCGGGATGCCAGTTTCATCCACAATCAAGACATGGCATCCTATGGAACATGTGAGTGAGACGTACGGAGAGGCAGGGAGGGATGCTTCTGCTGAGAAAGGTCTTCAGGGAAGGCAAATTCTCAGATGTATGTTCAGGCAGAGGTGCCACAAGATGAACATGCAAAGAGAATTGGAATGTGACTTCACTGCTCTCTCTACACACAAACACAGCTGACGGCTGTTTTCATATTGTTGATGGGTGGCTCTTTTCCTGTGCATCTCCTTGCTCAACCTTTCTCCCTTGCCACTCAGGGCTGGAAGAGAATGCAGCAGCACGAGGAAGAAGAGCTTAGGCAGACAGGGAGGAGCTTGCCTGAACATCGTGCAGCGGGCCTATAGAATCGGAGGGAAGGCAGGGCCAGCGCTTTTTGAGGAGGCTGCTCCACTGCGTTCACAGGGAACCTTACCCACAGGACTTCCTGAGCTGCATGCAGGTGAGTGAGGCATCTGGTGGGCTATTGAGACATCTGGTGGGCTGTTTGGATGGGGCGTTTCTCAACGAGCCCTTTCTCCTCTGACAGAACATCCGGAGTAGCGCCAAGGCAACGTGGACACCAGAGTTGTGCTGCAGAGATCCATCTTCTGCTCTCCGCAGGATCCAGTCTGGACCAGCGCCAGGAACATCAACACCATCAGGATCGACCAAGAGGAGTGGTGCTGCCCTCACGACCCTCCGTACACAGCGGTAGGAAACCTTTTTGTTGTTGTGTTTCTTGTTGATGTTGTTTTTGATTGTTGATTTTATTCATTTTGAATCTCAGGGTGGTTCACAACACCAAGTATATGAAGCACAAAATAAATAATAAGAATAATCACTACACAAAATTCATAATAAAAATATCAGAACATAATATAAATTAAAATAATAAAAACATAACTAAAAATGCCACAAGACCAATGTATGCACACTAATAAAACAATACAAGAGCCCTGAAACAACACTCCCAGCCCACAAATACAAAATCTAAATCAACGTAACACATTTAACAACCATTTAAAACAACCCCACCTTCTTGAAGAAGGCTGTATTAATTAGATTTAGAAGGTTGGAATACGAGGTTTGGATGGCACGCCTACCTAACATACAACAAAGTGGCAGTGCATAAGGACTTTTAAAATCATATACAGTGGTACCTCGCAAGACGAACGCCTCGCAAGACAAAAAACTCCGCTAGACGAAAGGTTTTTCCGTTTTCGAGTTGCCTCGCAAGACGAATTTCCCTATGGGCTTGCTTCGCAAGACGAAAACGTCTCGCGACTTTGTTTCCTTTTTCTTAAAACCGTCTTAAAACAAAGGGTGCTTAGCTTGAACAGCTGCAGTTGCGACTGACTTCGAGGAGCAACTGTTAGCACGTTGGTTTGGTAGCCTTTTCTCAGACTTTGCTCACTTTTGAAGCTTTTTCCAAAACTTTTCAGAACTTCTCTTGCATCCATTTGGGTAAGTTAAAACTTTTAAAACTTTTTTTGGGGGTTTTGGATTTTTGGGTTGGGTGGTTTGGGATTCAAGGACTTGGTTCTGGGTTTTAATTTCTGTGTGGTGGGTGGCTGGGTGCTTTTGAATTTTTTGGATTTGAAGCACATCACTGATTTTTTTTTCTTTTTTTCTGAGTTTACGAAGGTAAGAGCTGTGCTGCCATGGGACCCAAGAAGACTGCTGCTGCGGTTGGCCGGCTGAGAGGAAGAAGGAGAAGGTGACGCTGGAAATGAAGAAGGAGATCATCCGGAAGCACGAGGGCGGAATGCGTTGTGACGGACATCGCCAGGGAGTACGGGGAGGAATCCATCAACCATCGGGACCATCCTGAAGATGAGGGAGAAGATCCTGGCGACTGATGCAGCCAAGGGAGTCACCAGGATCGTGAAGAACCGCCCAGCTGTTCTGGAGGAGGTCGAGAAGTGGTCAGGCATGGAGAGGCTGCCAGTTCTGATGTTCCTGCGGCTGAAGACTTTTGCAGCGGAGTTCCTGGAGGTTGTGTCCTCCAAAGAACTGAGGGACATTTGTCAGAAGTGGAAAGATGTGCAGGCTTTTGCACAGTGGCACCACCCTGACAAGGACCTGACACGTGACCTTGCGAACACTTTTGATACGAGGGTCATGTCGTCTTTCAGGGAGGTGCTGAAAAGGCGGATGAAGCAGCAGACTATGGACAGGTTCTTGAGCAAGAAGCAAAGAGTGGAAGAGGAGCCTTCTTCGAGTGGTCCCCCAGAGTCTTAGAAAATGTACTGTACACTTTGTTGATTTTTAAATGTTTTTCTGTCATGTTTATAAAGTTAATTTATTTTCCCTTCAATTTTTGAACTGCTCTTTACAGTATGTGTGACTTTAAAGAGCAGTTAATAAACTGTTGTTGTACCAAATTTGGCTTTGTTTGGACTTTTTTTGACCATAGGAACGCATTAATTGATTTTCAATGCATTCCAATGGGATTTCGTGATTCGCAAGACGAAAAATTCGCTAGACGACAAAACTTGCGGAACGAATTAATTTCGTCTTGCGGGGCACCACTGTAGTAAGAATTTCATTATACAAGGTCTGGGATAAGTACTACAGACTATTAGAGCCCAAAATACCCTGGTGGGCATCCCCAGTGGA